TGGGCCCATGCAAAAGGGCCAGAAGAGAGCTTTGAAATCCACCCTTCCTTTTGTTTTTCCTCTGGCCCTCCCTTGTCCTTCCCTCACTTTACTCATAATGTCTATTGAACTGCCTTTGTTGTGGGGATGGGAAACCCAAAGAGGTATCATCCAAGGGAAATCATGAAGATGGAAGATACAGATGGGCTTATCTTGAGCTTGTCTTGCTCTCTCAGGTATAAACCTGATATGTAACCTAACCTGTTAGGCCAGGTTGCAGCAAAGCAAGGGGTAGGTTAGTTATTACTAAGCATCACGTGCACTAGCACCACACACAGATGAGATGAGCTGCTCTGTTTACTGTTTACAGACTGGTACTTAATGGCTGCTTTTTTTCTCTTCCTTTTCCCCTTTGTCCCCATCTCTTTCTGTTCCCTTACCCGTGTGGGATGGCTCTCATAGTACGGGATGATTTCTTTGGTAAGGCCAAGGCCTTTTTTCTTTTTCTTTTTCTTTTTTTTTTTTCTCTCTCTTTTTTTTTTAATGTGCTTTTTTTTCTAAATTTCTTCCATTCACGCAACATCTTTTCATATGTCTTGCATTACCTTGCCTTGCTTTTTTGTGATGATGGTATCACCTCTCCAAGAAGGAGGACGTGGCTGGTCAGTGACAGTGGGATTCTCCTCTGTTTCTTGTAGCTGATATCCACTTTGATGCTTCACACTATTAGCCTGTCCATGGGAAGTAGACAGTGTAGGAAGGCTCTGTTAGAGAGGGCTCTGTCAAGACCTCTTTTCCCTTTTTTCCACACCACAAAGGGGTGAAGGGATCTTCTAGTGGCCCCTCCACAGTGTTTTTTCCCCATGAGTAGGGCTTTCCTGTTACAGCCTCCATAAGCTCATCTCACAGTGTCTACTGTATGGCTCTGGGATGGCTTCATCCATTTCTTTATTACAAGACTGGCTCTGCAGACCTCTTGCTGCTTAAGGCATTGGACTGTGACTGTCACACACAAATAAGGTAGAAGCTGTGGTGAGGATACTGATGGCTGGGACACTGTATGGCTTTAGTTCTGGCATGGTGGCTCACCATCTTCACCAGAGTTCCTTCCTCACCCTAAAACAGCTGCAGAGAGGGATAGATGGCTCAAGAATGGGAAGGAAAAAGGTTTAGCCAAAAAAAACTGGGCATGAACTCTTTGCCTTGATGTCCCTCAGCACCTGTAATGCTCTGCCATTTTAGTGTTTTACAGGATAAATACTTGTTGATAATTTGTAGAATCACTAAAAAGGAAAAAGAAAATCACTGAATGAACAGATTACTTCTTTCTCCTCTGATCAACATACACCCTGCCAAAAAAGAAATGGCTATAGGTCATTCACCTTACCAAGCCAAAAATGCACTTCAGTTTACACTGCAGTTTGTGTATCTCACTGTTTTACTATTTGTAATATTCTTTGACACAGCATCCAAAGAACACATTGCCTGAAACATCAAAGTGATTCATTGTTTGTCTACTAATTTTTCAAACGTTATTTGAAAATGCTGCTTCATACTCATTCTTGCTGGGAATTTGCTTTTTCCATCTTAAACTCATCCTGTCTAAGTGTGGGAAGAGAATCTGTATGTTGGAGTGTTGTGATGTGTTCTCACTTCTTGTATGTTACCATGTTTCTCTAACTTCCATTTACTTCAAATTTGTGTTGTTTTTATTATAATGCAAATATATTATAATGCAAATATTAAATAACAGATCGTGAAAATTGTTGATGCCTTTGCTGTAAAGGAGGAGGTAATTCAGACGGCAGATCAAGAAGCACTTTGATGGTTATGACTTTTTCGTGCTCTGGGACCTGTAGTTAGAAATGGGCTGCAACCCTAAGCACCACCCCCTGGCAGGGGTCAGTCTCTGCCTTTAGTTCTCAGGTGGCCTCTATTCCCCACTGTAAGACGGAAGCTGACCCAGGGAGCCAGCAAGTCCCTGGGAGCAGGAAACAATCCAGATGTGCTTCTGGTCCCTAAATTCCTTTCTGTTTGTGTTATGAAATGCTGAATTCAGCCTTCACTCTTAGTCTCAGGTTTTTCAAAGTGCTTGCAACCCAACCTGCATGTTGCAGTCATGTCATATGTTGATGCCCAAGAGCAAGTGCAGTGTGTCTGCTGCAGATGTTTTCTTGAGTGTGGGTCTTAAGTGAAGGAACTGAGACTTCAGATTTTATACGAAAGTGAGAAAACTGTTAAAGGTAGGTAGAATAATGGAGAAGCTAAAGTCCTGTTAAAATTGCTCTGGTGGAAGGCTGGTACTGGGCAGCCTTTCATGTGCATGAAACTGGTCACAGCCAAGATCCCAAATCTGTACTGAGAAACAGCAAGTTTGGATTGTACTAAGAAAGAAAGAAAATCAAAGATGTGCAGATCTGGCCAGCAGTTTGGACAGTGTTCTGCTGCCCTCTCTGAAAAACCCATGAACTTTTACTCACTTTTTGGATGAGTGATGATGAAAAATGGTTGCAACTGTTAACAGCTGTTAACTGTTTACAGCTGAATGAGGTATTACTGACTTGACTTCGCCTACCTGGCATTAGTGAAGCTTTCCTCTCTGTCCATCTCAAGGGGGTCTGTGAACGTTGGAGTAAGAAGGCTAGGTCTGCCTTTGGGCTCTTAACAGAAGGACACACAGGTTTTTTTGCTGTTGCCACATTGGTCAGGCACTCTGCACTCTGCTCTCCACTGCAGGACACATAACTCTAGGGAGACCTAACAAAAGTGCTTTGTCTTCCTCAAGCATGAGTCAGGCAGTGCCACACAAGCGCTTCATACTTCTAGGAGAGCAGTTGAAAACTGTCTGGCCTTTCTTTTCAGGAATGGGCAAAGAAGTGGGGAATCTACTGCTGGAGAACTCGCAGCTTCTGGAGACCAAGTAAGGAACTGTTGCATGCTCTGAACTACCTGCCTAGTTATAAATGAGATGTTACCTTGAAGGGCGTCTGGGCCCAGAACTCCTGCCTCACAGGAGTTCATGTGTCTAATAGGCTCTCCTGAATACTTGTTTTCTTCCCAATTCTAGAAGAGGATTTGCTCTTCTGAGCAACATTTCAGACAGTTTCCTCTCTGCTGGCACCTGGGTGAAGTCTCTGGGCATGTGCTAGTAGGGTCTGATCCCAACTGAAATAAATGGCAAGCTGTTAATTGGCTTGAATGGGAATCTAGAAGTGAGTCTGAGCGTCTACGAGGAGGTGGTTAGAAGTTTTTATTTGCAAGACTTGCTGTTTGAAAAGAAAATTTTCTTACTATTTTCGTATTAACTGAGAAGATTTTTAAAAGATTCACTACCAATAAAGAAAAAGCAGACAATGTATCAGACTTATTTTTTGAGAGAGGCTGGCAAAGCAGCTACTAAAGCTAAGCAGCTAGGAAGAGGAAAGCAAAGTATTCCCAAGGGAGAGTTGAACTTAGGGTGATAGGAAGCTGCTCATTTGAAAGATTTTAACATAATTTGGAGCTGATTGGAAGTGCTTTTTGATATCACCATCATCCATAATTACCCACAGTTAAGAGATAATAGCAGTTCTCAAAGGTGTGTTTCAGATCTTGATTTGGTTAAAAATAGGTTTGAGCCTCATGCAGGTGATAGGGGACGCTGCACCTGCTTTCTGCAGTGTCCTACCATCTTCTTAAGGAGCTGTTGCTCCATCAGTCAGGATACAGGACTGGACAAACCTTATCCTGACCAATTATGGTGATTTATGTGTTCTTCTGCAGCTCCTTCTAGCCAAAATCTGTTATTCCATGAGTTACAGCTGGACTGATTTTTGTACATATACTCATTTCAACTCTCCTTGTAGTGCTTGTGACTTTAGTTTCAGGTCTCTCTTATGGACAGCTGCTAGCTGTGGGCATTTTTGCTTATTGTCCCTTTCACACCTTTAAGAAATGCTTTGAATGTTGTGAAGAATGATTTGATTGCCAAGGTGGACCAGCTGTCTGGAGAGCAGGAAGTGCTGAAGGGAGAGCTTGAAGCAACAAAGCAGGCCAAAGCCAAAATGGAAGCAAGAGTCAAGGAGCTGGAGGAGGAGCTGAAAAGGTGAGTCATTCACACCCTGCCCCAGGGAGCTGGAAGGACAAGCCACCTCCTCTGTTAGTCTTCCTCTGTTTCCCTCATGGACATTAGCATTAGAATTCAAAGGTACCTTATAGAGCACTTCAAGGCTCATGGTAGGTCGTTGACATATTTTTAGTGTTAGGTTGTTTTTGTTGGATTGGAATGAATTCCTGAATCTTAGAAAACCTGCAGAATTTTCCTCCCAAGAACTAGAATTTTGCAGCAAGCAAGTGCCGATCCAGGCTCCCAGGAGCAAGGTGTTCGGAGTTTCAATTTGCAATTAAAAAAAAAAAAAAAAAGGGAGAGTGGGGATGGAATTTCAAAATCAGTAGTTTTGAGGGGAACTGTCAAGAGCTTGATCATGGCAGCAGCCAAGATAGCTCTTAGAGGAATGGTTGCCCATTAATTTAATGAAAGAGCTAGTACAGATTCCCACAAACAATATTTAACTGTCACTATTGTCAGTTGTTTCATTGATCATGTTAATGAGAAGAAGAGACACGAGATTTTAAAGTCCTGTGCAGGTACCATTTGGAGAGATCCCATTTTATGTATTCCACTCAAGCTAGCGAAATCAAAGCCTGAATGCTTAGCAAAGCCTGTGATGGTTTCACATCCATATAACTAGAGATGCCCCACCAAGCTCTAGAGGAACATCATTCCATTTTGACTAGCTGTACATTGCTCTGTGTTATCTCCATTCAGAGGACAGTGTTTATTTTGCAGCTGGAGTCTGGAAGGTTGCTTCTGTAATCTGAGGACAGAAGCACCAATAATAACACAAACTGGTCCCTTTGTTGTTCAAAATGTCTGAAATGAAAGTATTCTCACAAGCAGTGGAAATATGTCTGTTTTTTTAAAAATCCTTTTTAAATCTTTCGTAGTATATAAAATATACAAAATATTTTAGGCAGTAGGGATGTGGGCTTTTAAATCATGGAATCATAGAATGGTTTGTGTTGGAAGGGACCTTAAAGATCATCTAGATCCAAACCCCTGCATGGGCAGGGACACCTCCCACTAGACCAGGTTGCTGCAAGCCCCATCCAGCCTGGCCTTGAACACTTCCAGGGATGGGGCAGCCACAGCTTCTCTGGGCAACCTGGGCCAGGGTCTCACCACCCTCACAGGAAATAATTTCTTCCTTATGTCTAACCTAACTTGTGGGCATGGAAAGAATTGGATGCTGGTCTCCCATGATCTAACCATGAGATGATAATTTCTGCTAGCAAAATACCAGCCATAACAAAAAAATTGTTGGAGTTTTGGATTCTTAGGAGATGAAGGCAGCATTTTTTTCCACAGTGTCTTTGCTGTTAATAAAAGTTATTGTAATTCAAATGGGACTGTATGACTGCACTTTGGTATGGAGTTTAAAGAAATTTAAAGCACTCAGTTAAATCCTTGAACTATTTTATTATCACAGATTGGTGTTCTTTTCTGTACTTCACATTAGATGCTTTTTTTCACTGCATTGAAAATAGAAGCAGCCTAGAAGAATTTAAACCAGCATTTTCACTGTGATAATGGCTCAGTTTTCCCATGGTTAAGGTCTCATAAAATGTTTGTACATAGGTTATGGCTCTGAAATAGAAATGGGCTGGACTGTTCAGTATGGACTGGTCAGTATTTTGGTCCTTATATCAAGTGTTACAAAGAAATGGGGTGATGTTGGTCAAGCTGTTCAGAGTAATGTGCTTCAAGAGAGGGAAAAATAGAAGAGAAGCATCTCATAATTTATACACTTGGCTGACAGGTTGAAAATGTTGCCTTGTGATGCATGCAGACAGACCTGTCTGGTTCTGCCAAAACACTTGAGGGCAGCCAAGGTATCACCTTCTGTTTTGATGCTTTTCTTCCTGTTTCCTAGAGTGAAATCTGAAGCGATTGTTGCCCGACGTGAACCCAAAGAGGAGGTGGAGGATGTAAGCAGCTATCTCTGTACAGAATTGGTATATTACATTACTAAAATGCCTGCGGGGAGAGGGGGTTTCTATACTTACTCTGTATTGCTTCATATGTATGGGTCAGGAGAATGCAGATTTATCTGCCTTCCTTAATGATGAGGGCAAAGCTGATGAACTGCAGGTTGTTGCAGATGAGCACTGCTAATAGGCAGATGCCATGGGATTATCTCTTCATGTGACTCTCCAGTCATAGTTTCACAAAGATGAGCAGCTGACAGTGACAATACCCTGCACAACTTGGTTTCTGCAGGGCCCTGCTCAGCACCTTCCTGCTTTATCTGGTTCTATCTAATTTTGAATTGCAGTCTAGTGCACAGTGGGATTTCTCTTTGGGTCTGTGAAAGTCAGGATTCTCCAGAAGAGCTCATCTCCATGTTGACGTTGAAGCTGGAAGCCGTAAAGACATTGTGCAGTGAAGTCCAAGTTACACCAATAGCTTTGCAGCAGTAACTGCCTTTTTTTATTAGTTCTGCCATTCCAATCTTGCAGCATTGTTTTTGTCATTATTTCTTTTACAAGTGCCTGTTACAGGGCAGAGAATGGTCATGAACTGTTCTTCAAACTCTTCTGTCTGAGGTAGAGGCTTTTCAGCAAAGACTGACTATAGCCAAAAAAAAAAAAGGCAAACCAAAGTGGTAAAAGAGATTTTTCCTTGTAAGTGTCACTCTGCTAGGGTAGGGGATTAGACACACTTCTTTTCAACATTAATGATTTCTTACTTTGTGAAAGGTATTGGAGCAGGTTTAATTCTAGCCTAATTCTCTTGAATTACCTGGGTTGAACTTGGTCTATTCAGAAGTTATGTGTATAGGAGAATTTTCAAGTTGTGCTTTTGAAGTGCTGAAGAGGACTGGATTTCTTTTAAGCTGAACTGACAGGAGGACTTGGATAGTTTGTGCTATTCCAGCACTCTGCAGTACCTACCAGCTAGGCCGAGCTTGGGAATTGCCACAGTCTAGGCACAACCCGGTGCCACTTTCTAGTAATGAATTACCCAAATCCTTATATTTCCTTTATGGGCAGATGTTTTTCCCAGCTGAGCTGTGTTGTTCTCATTTTCCACTCCTAAAAAGAGAGAAGCAGAATCTCATTCCTGTTGCCTCCTAACCCAAAGCTGCGTGTACCCTCATTGGAAGGTCAGGATGTGTCACCACAGAGGAAAAGGTCTTCCTTTAGTTGCTTGTGCCCTAAACCTTTATCAGTGTGTACTAAAAGAATGCCTCCTTCCTGGTCACCTCAAGAGGATGGCTGGTGTCAGCTGGTGCTCCCTGGTACTTGTGACTGGATTTGCTAATGAACTAAAGCTTTGGTTTCCAAACTTGTGAACCAGTGAACCATGGTCAATTCTCAGAATTCCTTGCAGACTATCTAAGCACCTTGCTGACAATAGTTTGTGGGTGGGGTTTTCAATTTGGTGGTGGTTCTGACACTGATTTCCATGGATTTGCACAATACCTAGTGGTCCATGCGCCATAGTTTGGAGCTCACGTCTAAAATTTGCACCTCATATGGGGAGATGGGGGTAATCAAACAGAACAGGAGAACTAACAAACATGTCTTTCTGTCTCCTGACTTGCCCTGTACTAACATCAATCCCCTTCGGTCTCTTGTTGGCTGAAGCAGTGCTCCTCCCCCCTGCAGGACAACATCCCCATAGCTCAGCGCCGCCGCTTCACCCGCGTGGAAATGGCCCGGGTTCTGATGGAGCGCAATCAGTACAAGGAGAGGCTGATGGAGCTCCAGGAAGCTGTCAGGTGGACAGAGATGATCAGGTAAGACTGGGTGTTGGCAGTCATTCCTGTCTAGGGCAGAAACTGGCCATGTTTGACCTTTTGGAACCCCAGCCAAGATATGGGTGGAGAGGAGCTGAATGTTTTCCAAAATTTATATGATTCTCTCCTAATGCCTAATTCTTTCTCTCTTATTTCTGAACCTGGGCTGAAAATCCCAAATTGCCATTGTTATTTGGAGACACTGGGCAGTTATTTGTCTTGCATGTTTCTTGTGTGCTAACTAAGCCAGGAGAAGCTGTAGGAAAGAGGGGTGCTTCCACCTAATGAGTTCTAAAGGCTATGGCTTGGAGTGTTAATGCTGAGGTTTATAGTTCCCAGACTAGTGCTGTGGCAATGATAATGTTGCAGGGAGTTGATAAAACTTGGAATTGAACACACTTACTTGCACTTCACATCAACATTGAAATATAAAGTTGTTGGGTGTGCTTGCATTAAAGACCGAGCATGTTGCTTCCTCCTCTGTTGTGGTTTGAAACATGTTAGAATGAATTCTGAAGTTTGACATGGCTTCCTTGGAGGAAATTGCCTGCTAGTTGGCAGAAGCTTGGGTATGACATGCTGAAATTAACTTGATTCTGCTGTGTTTGTCCTTAGAGCTTCCCGTGAGCACCCATCTGTCCAGGAAAAGAAGAAATCCACCATTTGGCAGTTGTAAGTTCTTTGGTGGTTTGTGTAAGATTAAGAAAAGGGGAAGTGTTGCCATTTCTACTTCAGCCAGCAACTTGATGGACTCTGACATTAATGAAACGTCAACTAAAAGTTGTTAGCTGAAAACTTTTACCTTCAAGGGCTTCTTTTGTCCTTAGTGAAGTTAAAAATCAGATCTGAACATCTGTACTGGTACTGTGTTACAAGATGAAAAAGATCGGAAGTATCCTGAGATGGGAACATACATACACTCACAATCAGTTTTAATAAAGGACTATTTTCAGAAGGTACTTGTTTCTGGAAGCTGAAAACACCTTATGTCAGTCAAACTGAGGACTTAGCTCTGTGTTTTGAAGTAGGGCAGTTGCCTTGGAGGTCTTACAGCCTCTGCCAGCATACCTCTTGCTTCCCCTGTTGTGAATCTATGCTATGTTGTCTCCTCAGGCACCTTTTCTCTTATTTGTTGGGGTTTTTGTGTCCCTAGCTTCAGCCGTCTGTTCAGTTCTTCCTCGAGTCCTCCACCAGTGAAGAGAACCTACCCATCTGTCAACATCCACTACAAGTCTCCAACAACAGCAGGGTTCAGCCAGCGCCGCAGTCACACCATGTGCCAGATCTCCTCCGGCAGCCGAACCCTGGAGTTCTTCCCTGAAGAGTGAGTCGCATGCTGTGTGCCCAGCCAGGTTCCCCTGCAGCCCTCCCACATGGCAGCTTTCTTAAAATAGGCTTTTTTCAACTCAAAAAAAAAGACTATGTGGTGTTAATATGTTTCTGTCTTGTGGTTTAGATCTTTCGCTCATCAGTCACCATGTGGATGGGCTCAGCAAGCATTACCCTTCCAAACATGTTGCTGCCATGGCTTTCTAAAAAAAGCAGGAACCACTGTGGGCTTGAGTTGGCCTCAGTTCTAACTCTGCACTGGTATTTGCAGACTGCTGAGAGAGTGAAGTAGAGCTTTTGTGGTAGAATGGGATGGCAAGGTATCATAACTTGTGCAAGAAGAAGGATTTGTTGAAAAGGCACTAGATCAAGAGAAGAGAGATTGTCTTTAGAAGGGTAACTTTGTATTTATAGCTCTCCACTGCCTTTATTCTTTTCTCATGACAGTATCATAGTCATTGTGTGGTATCTGAGTGCTTTTCAGCAGTGCATTAAAAAAAGTGACTACTGTCAGGAGCTGTCATCCTCTCCCCAGAGGAGGAAGCATCTGTA